CTCGAGGGGTCCCAGACTGCGAGAGGGCACAGGCCGGGCTGGGGGACCCCCCTCCCCCCCTGAGTGCACAAATTTTTGTGCACCGGGCCTCTAGTATATATATATTAATGATTTCAGAGAGGAAAGGAGAGGGAGAGAGAGATATAAACATCAATGATGGGAGAGAATCATTGATCAGCTGCCTCTTGCATGCCCCCTACTGGGGATCAAACCCACAACCCAAGCATGTGCCCTTGACCAGAATTGAACCTGGGACCATTCAGTCTGCAGGCTGATGCTCTATCCACTGAGCAAAACGAGCTAGGGTAGCACTCATTTTTTTTTAAAGAAATGGCCTGAAGGTCAGAGGTCAGTTCTCCCACTCTCTCTCTCTCTCTCTTTTTAAAATATGTTTTTATTGATTTCAGAGAGAGGGAGAGAGAGAGAGAGAGAGAGAAATATCAATGATGAGAGAGAATCATTGATCAACTGCCACTGGCAAACCCCCCAGTGGAATGTGCCCTGACCAGGAATCAAATCTCAACCTCCTGGTTCATGGGTCAACACTCAACCACCGAGTCATACTGGTTCGGCTTTTTGGATTCTCTTGCTTATGGTGTGTCCTTGGCATTACTGTGTTCCCCACCCCTGACCCCCAGTCTATTTGTTTGAAATTAAAGCATGTTTGCAAAAAACTACTCCAAAACAAGAATAAGCCATGAAACTCAGGGTTGAATTTACTTGCTTAACTGCCACAAATGTTGGCTATGAGGGTTTTTCTTTCCAAGATGGAGGATTGATTTCGTGTCCTCACCAGCTAGACAGTGGCCTTGAACTTGCCTGACCACAAAACTTTCCTCCCATATAGCAGCTGCATATCTACATCCACTTCAATCTTATCTCCCCTAAACAAGAGTGAGGGCTTTGCAGTTAATCAAAGGGAATTAATAGTTCTCTCACTTCACACCTGGAGGCTTTTCTCAGTTTAGGGCCAGGAGGAAGTCAAGGCCATGAATGCTCCAGAGAGATACAAGGACATGTTAACTGACCTCTTCTCAAATCCAGGATTTCAAGTCACTGTACCTGGATCTTTGCTACTATCCTTATCAATTCTATACATTTTACTCAGCTTCAGCAAGCTTTTACTTTTGGAGAAACAGCAAGTGTGAGTTCTCAGAAATCTTTTGATTGCTAAATCAGAGCTAGCATAACTTTAAGTAAACAGGCAGGCTGAGAAAAAATCACCTCAGTTCCAAATGATTTAGGGTAGAGCTCCCAGGGACAGGGGTTTTCCTCCTTAGTTAAGCAGTGAGGAGGTGGCATGTATGTGATCTTAGGGAACATTATGGACTAACTTGGTTCTATTTATAGTGTATTCTCACAGAAGCAGCCAAACACACTTGCAAATTAGTTTGTGAGCCGTAGAGGATAGATGAAAAGGACTTTTCTAAAACCAGCCTGTTACAGAGAGGAAGAATAAATCCATGAAAGAGAATGGAGAAACACAGGGAAAACAAAACAACTCCTATGATTCTAAGAGGACAGTATTCATCTTATGCATAGTCCTTGTCCTTGTGGGATGTATAAAGTGATTCTTGAGTCTGACACTTAATTTGGCTGGTATTGACTTTTCTTGGACACATTCATATAATTTGCTTTTGGCTTCTCGATCTGGGAACATGAGACCCCTTTGGTCAGCTTTAAACCTCTAATTGCTCTTTTCATTTTAAATCAATTAAAAAATTAACCAGACCAGACTGAAAGCTCCCAAACAAGTAAAATTTATCGTCCATTTCAAAGACTAAATTGGTTGAAGGGATGGCAGCCAAACTTACAACAGGCTTGTTTCCTTCTTTTATGGTGATCCAGTCTTCCCCATTGGAGCTAATGTCTATTCTGTAAGTCTTGACGTAGTATTTCTTCTTGGTTTCCTTTGAAATAGCTCCCTGTGTCCCAACAGCAGTGACAAAGCGCAGAAGGCCCAAGTCCACCTGCAAGACAATACACATGAGGTCAGCTGCCCATCCCTGCACTGCCATCACCTGGACCATCTTCCCCTGTGGGCTCCACAGTGTAGTTTCTACCAACCTGGGATCAATAGACCCTAATTCCTCTGGCATCAACAACCCCCAAAATCCCCCTACCATTCCTCTAACAAAAGGCACAAATGGGAGAAGACAGCAATTGCTCTAGGTAGGCAATTGCCAGGAAAGACCTTTCTCATTGCTGCAACCATGATTGTTTAATCCCCGGTGCAAAAGACAAAACAGGGTTCAATATCATGTTGCTGTATTTTCTGAGAGTTTAAAAACCTTTTCCAAACAACACATCAATATATGCCATTTTACAAATAGAAAATCAAGGCAAACAAGATAATCTCACATATTGGAGACTTGAGAGGCCTGGACTAGAACTCAAGTCTAACATGGTCCTATTTTCCATCACTATTTAGCATTCTACCTCCTTCAAATAGAATGCAGATCAGAACAATACTGACTTTGAAAGCACTGTGAGTGTTGTGGTTAGGGAAATGGGCCCTAGATTTGTAATCTGGAATGGAGTAGAGATGAGGAGTGCAGAGTAAGGATTTTTGTTTCTTAGATTTGAATTTCAGATAAACAACAAATATTTTTAATATAAATATGTCCCATGTAATATTTGGGACATACTACAACTAGGTCATGGCTTACTTGAAATACAAATTTAACTGGGTGTTATCTGGGAACGCTAAATCTAACTAAATTCCAGACAAATAATCAGGTGATTTTAAGTTGCTGTAAAAACTCTCTGATTTCCTAATGTTGCAATCTGAAAGTTAATGGGTACTCTGGACAATGGTTGCACTAAACAGTTTCAAATACTCTAAGGGCACTTAATGTTTTACTCACTATCCATTGAGTCATGTTCGATGCCACATCCACTTTCAAGCTGAAGGGCCCTTCAGATCTTGATGTCCAAAGGTGCATGAAGCAGAGCTATTTAAATAAACTCTTCCTGTCAAACTTACAAATGGCTCTTCAGTTTGGAAATGATTAAACATTCCAAGAGTGCATAGGCAGATTTGAAATAACTCTAGAACTTTATTCTCTGACTGCCATATTCCTGCTTTTCAAATTTTTTTTCTAGGATACAATTTAGTTGCCAGGTAGAAAAGAAGTTAACTGGTGGTTAACTAGAAGAATCCTAAGTATTAATAACAGCTGACTTAAAGGAAGGAGCAATTGATTGGAATTTAGGTACCCAACACAGGAAGCATCCAAGGTCTCAGATAGAAAGGCCCCAAAGGCATATGCATGATCTGTCATAAAAAAAGTTTTCTTTTTTCAATGACAATGAAACGCATTAGCAACCTCCCCATGTAATTGCATAAAACTTCCTGCTGTGCTATAAAGCTGCAGATTCTCTTATTTACCACACTGGGATACTTGACATTTCATTTAATTTTTCTTTCTAACATTACTGCCACCGGGTTTAGTACGGATGAGTGACAACCTCACAAAATGATTAGAACTGGGACTCATTAAAATTAAAATCAGAAGGTACCCAGAACTCTGATAAAACAGCCTCCCCTGCACTATGAGAACTCTCACTGCCAATGTTGGGGAAGTACTTTCTCCCTTAGTATCTATGGGGAATGCCCTAACAGAGACCTTCCCATACCTGATGATTGGAAGGAGATAGCCTTCTGTCTCAGAAGCATCACTGCTCACTCTGCTGGTGTCTGTGTCAGGAGACTCAGAAGGACTTCAAGTCTGTAAGTACACCTTTCTTATGGGTGAGGCCTGCTCAGTTAATAATGACATTTTCCTTGATCTATCTTTTTAGTCTCACCTGCTGTATCTATCTTCCAGACCCATTAAAATATTTGTTATTCTGAACACTAGAGAAGCCTTTTCTGCCTGCATGCCTCAATGTGTAAATTTCTCTTGATTTAATCATTTCCTCTTTTTTTTTTATACTAGTGACTTTTATTTTACTTTCTGGTCTGGTAGGCAGAGTAAGTCACTTGTCACCCTAGAATATTAAGTGTGTAGTTAATGTTGCCACCGCCGAATCCATCCAGTTGTGTTTTTGCTCTATCTCCATCAAGACTTTTATGATTTCTTTTAGGGAGTATCTGTGTTTCTATATATAAAAGTAATAGATGCCTATTGAAAATTCATAAGATGCAGAAAAGGTTAGAGAAGAAAATAAAATCTCCATAAGACCACCATTAGGAAATAACCACTAATAGCCTCCCAGAGTTTTTTTTCTTATTCTAAATGTATGTGAATATGGTGTGCGTGTTTTATTATAAAAATGTGGTCATATTACTTCTATGTTTGATGAGCTTCTTTTTGTTTAGTTCTACGGCTTTATTTCCAAGTCAAGATATTTTTCTACCACATCATTTTCAGTGGCTTTATGATATTCCATGGTAAGGTTGTAGCATAATCTATTTAATCAGCATGCTACCTGTGAACACTGTTATTCAACCTAATGGACATTCATTCAGTGGACACTTAATACTGCTCATCTGCTAAGTTCTGCATTAAGTGGTGAGGATATCAAGAGCAGTAAGAGTGTGGGAAGCACAAACACATGACTACAGAATGGGGCAATGTGCAGAAAGTGTGATGCAGCACAGAGGAAGGAATAAGCGGTTTGCCAGAGAATTGGAGCTGAAGGACTATAGACATTTCACAGATGACTATGATGTCTATTATATGAAAAATACATGATAGAAGCATGCAAGTGGACACAAAGGGAAAAAGTGTTCCAGGGAGAAGGAGGAGCAGGAAGTGCAGAGGCAAGGAGAAGGAAATGAATGAATGAAATGATAGACACTAAACAACCTACCACTGTGGTAGGCAGTTAAACAGACATGAGCATAGCTAGGACAATGAGCCAGGTACAGAAGGTCACCAGGGCAGAAAGCCCCAGGTGCCTAGCAAAAGACAATTGTAAGGTGAGACCTCACCCACAGGGTGACCTTTCAACCCCTAGCATATCCATGGACATGAAGTTTGGAGCCCTGACCTTTCCTCCCTAGAGATATCTAGGCCTCAGTTATATTTCAGCTCCAGACCCAGAAAAGCAACAAAATCAGACCAGTGACCCCAAGACTGACTTCAGGACCAGCTGCATTGAATAATGATCTCCTGCCCTGTCACCAACCAATCAATCAGTGGAAACTACAATCTTGAAAGGACACACCTGGAAAGCTGCTGAATATTCTATTAAGATTTTCCCATGGGACTTCCCCTAAAATCTCCACCCTTAAACCCTTAGGACATGGATCCAGTGCGCTCTCCCTCGTAGAAACATGTTCAAGCCTTTCGCTTCCCTTTCCCTAGACCCCCTGCCCCCAATTCCATATTACTATTGCCTTCCTCACTCCCAAGCTCTAAGGGTCTTTCCTTTACCTCTATAACTTGTTTCCTAATCCTATTTCTTCTATGAATTACTTCTTCCACCTCTATGACTTTATAAATAAATGTTCTCTTATGGTTGAAGTCTTGGCTCTAATTCTTCCCTACCCAGAACTCAAGTACCGAGGTTGCTGAACCCAGGTCCAGTCTGACCCCATGCATCTAACACCTGGTGCCATTCCTGCCCATCTACAACACCAGGTTTCCCTACCTCTATAGACATTTGTCAAGAAATATATTGATCTCTGGTCATCTTAAAGCCAAAATAATCAATTGTCATGAAAACCATTCAAAATCAGCCATGACCATCCTCTTGGTGATTTAGCTTTCTGAATTATGATGAACTCTTAGCAACCTCACATTCTAATAGATAAGATTGATGATTCAAGAAAGGCAGCTGGAAAGACAAAGATATAACCCAGAGAAGTTCTAAATATAGCCACCCCTCTGGGTTTGAGAGTTCATTGTCCTAACAATAGTTCCTTTCTTTCCATAAAAATTCACACAGACAATAACCATAATTAAATAACCTGCTATTCTTTAATCCAATCAGCTGTGGTCCAATCACTATTTTCTTATTTTAAAAAATATCATTATTTCACAGCTGCCTTATTTTTCATTAGAAGATGGATTTGATTTCACATCTGAGTTTACTCTACTTATGTTTAATATTAAGGGTGCTGGTGAGGGGATGTGAAGATGGGAGGGGGTATGTACACAGCTGAACATCAAATACATTCGCTGAAATTGTTGAATGTGTCACTCCCTGTGTGTGACAAACATCTGGTACTTATATGATGGTATGTAAATTATTTTATAGAAATTCATCAAAATCCTTTTTAAAAAAATATATATTTCTATTGATTTCAGAGAGGAAGGGAGAAATAGAGATAGAAACATCAATGATGAGAGAGACTCATCGATCAGCTGCATCCTGCACACCCCATACTGGGGATTGAGCCCACAACTTGGGCATATGCCCTGACCAGGAGTCAAACTGTGACCTCTTAGTTCATAGGTCAATGCTCAACCACTGAGCCATGCTAGCTAGGCTCAAAATCCTTTTGAGTTCTAGTGGCCACCCTTTGAGTTAGCTTATGTAGCATCATCATCAGAAGTGACTCAATCTGGCATCTTATTTCCAACTAGTGGCCCGGTGCATGAAATTTATGCATGGGTTGGGGGTTGTCCCTCAGCCCAGCCTGCACCCTCTCCAATCTGGGGCCCCTCAGGGGATGTCCACAGGGATTGGGCCTAAACCGGCAGTCCGGCATCCCTCTCGCAATCCGGGACTACTGGCTCCTAACTGCTCACCTGCCTGCCTGCCTGATCACCCCTAACCACTCTACCTGCTGGCCTGCTCGCCCTCAACTCACCCCCCACCCCAGCCGGCCTTCTCGCCCCCGCCGGCCTTCTCGCTCCCAACTGCCTCCCCACTAAGCCTGATCGCCCCCAACTGCCCTCCCCTTCTGGCCTGATCACCCCCAACTGCCTCTGTCTCAGCCCCGCCACCATGGCTTTGTCCGGAAGGTCTCCCAGTCTAAATAGCATATTACCCTTTTATTAGTATAGATATAAAT